GGGGGGGGGGGGGGGGGGGGGGGGGGGGGGGGGGGGGGGGGGGGGGGGGGGGGGGGGGGGGGGGGGGGGGGGGGGGAGGGGGGAGGGAGGGTTACCCCTTTCTGGCCCACGGTCTAATAAGATTTCATGAAGTATTTTTTCACAGCCTACTCTACCGAAGAGCATTTTTAGTTGTGCAAAAGTTGAATTTTGGAACATTTAAATCTCTGGAATCTAGTTCCTCCAGGCCCTTTAAGCAAATTTTAGGGCACCTAGATTCATCCATACTTTCAACCTTGGCTAACTAGTTCAGTGCACTTTTGATAACTTTTACTTCTAGTTTAAATTTACCAGCCTCCATTCTAATGGCATAGTGGAGCATGCATCTTTGCCATCTAAATAAACTGATCAAGAACTAAGTTAAATGTCACATGCTACTCCCAAATTTAGGTTTATAATATTCTGTGAGTAAAATTGAAGAATTCATCTCAAGAGTCCTGACACTGAGCTGATTTCCTTATAATTTAGGTGTGCTATGTATACATATTAAGATTATTTTACAAAACTGCCTTCAGGATCATGGTTTCTAGTGAAAGGATGTGCTTAAAATTATTTCAAATCTTTCTAGAAATATATGTGACATTTCCTACAAATCCAAGACATTATAACCTAGCAGACAGCAAAACTTTAGGAATTGTATCTAGAATAAATTTATTGGACTCTCGCCAAAGTGGGGACTGAAGATTAGTAGTATTATGGTCGTAAATAGGCACATTGACTACATTTTCTGTTAGTCCGACTAGAATCTTAGGTTAGTTCAAGAAGTGTTTTTGGTTAGTCCGATTAGAATATCTGATCATTCCTATCAGGAGTGTAGAAACTTCATGGCCACCAGCAGCGGATCGTGCACGGAAATAGGAATGCCTTGAAATCGGATTTTATACCGGGTGTTCCGAAGCACCTGTCCACCATTTTTTAAGCTTCGGGACGAAAAAACTTTCCGGGGTAAATTGGCTCTAAAAAATTCAATGAAAATACTTTCAGCCCCCCCACCCCCAAAACCCCATTGTGGGAGGGGGGTTAGGGGAATGCGGGATGCCCCTCGTTGCTCGCATATTTTAAATGGGAAGTGTATGTTTTGACTTCGGACTAAAACTCTATGGCCAAAAATAAGAACCTTTTGTTTCAAGCACTTTTTCCTTCAATTCCCATTTTTAGTAGTTACCGAAAATTTAGGGGCATTTTTTGGGCAAAAGCGGCCAAAAGGTCCCTAGCGTGGTTTTGAACCAATTTCTAGTATGTTATTTCACTATGTTCGATACGCCTCTCTCCAAAATTTTAAGGCCTTAAACGAAATATTTCCCGCGCAGCAGCGTTGCCAAGTGTAAAACTGTAAAGTTCCATATCTATTGAACGAAAGCAGCTTTTAAAGTGCGGTTTGCATGAAAATTCTACTAAAAATACCTCCTTAACTAATACGTCATTAAATTTGAAGTTTTATGAATTCAAACTTGCTCCGTTGCCATTTTTCATTTTTTTCCGTGATTGATTTTTTTTTTAAATTATAGTACATCATCAAATGAGTCCTCTTGAAATCGAACAATAAACTTTCCACCATATTATTCCTACTTTTCCATTTCTTTTGATATGTTATACCTCCCAGGGAAACGATTGGTTATCAAGATATGAAACATCAAAGTTTAAGCTTTGCACGTCCCAGCTGGAATCCGGGCGTTTAGAGTCGTCTGCACACCCCCTCCCTTGCCACCAACAAGTTTCACGAGGTCGCTCCTCTGTAATTTTTGTGTACTTTCCATTTCTGGCCTTTTAAAAGGCCTCAGATGAATATTTAAA